TACACAAGAATTCGCTTACCTACAGCAGCATCTTTTTCAGAGCTACATATATGTCAAATCAAGAAGCAGGAAGTAGGCAGCAAGCAGCAAAATTCGAATATGGTATCGAATTCACTATAGTAGTGTGAACAGAAGAATAAGTAGTGAGTTTAGTTAGGCGAAGAGCGAAGGAAGTCCAGAAGTCACAACGTGCATGCCCCTGCGACACTTGAGCATTCAAATGAGCGCGCGTGGTAAAATAATTCAAGCCGCAGAACCTTCCAATGAATAAACACGACGGTTGTCCCCCGCCGGCGGTTGCCATGGTCATCATAGGGTCAAAGGCTCAGGCAGTACGCAGCGAAATCCAAATGCGTGGGAATCTGCAATGGGCGGTGAGCCGTGAGCGAAGAGGTTAGTAGTTGAGTACTCACCGTGGCCGAGGAAGGCCGTCATCGTCATCGAGCCCCGCTAGAGTTCTGGTGCCGCCGAAGAAAGGGCCGCGTATTGCCCCGACCGTGAGTTCAGCTTGGGTATTTTGTTTTGTACATTGTAATCGCTTTCATAGCAATTGTTGAAGTCTTTTGCTGTAGTAAAAAGGATTTTTAGTTGTTTTATTGAATTTCCCGTTTTGATTGCTTTTTTGATAAAGAATTGTATCACCATCGACTGTACTTTCACTCGAACGGTTCGTAGTCGTAACTTTCTTGATTTCTTTTCCATTCTTTTAATCCATCAAAACCTAACCCTCACAATCAGACGTTCATCGCGCAATGATCCTTTTTTGAAGCAAGCTTCTTAAAATATCTTTAAATTAGTCGCGAGCACCAATGGGTACCGGCCTTTTTCTCTGTCGGATTCGCCTTGTGTCTCCCGTGTCGATATCATGAGCTACCAGAGAAGTCTGTGTTAGTTCACTTTCTTCTACAACAAACACTTGGTTCTTCTCTGTTATGATGTCTTGCAGCTCTGGCGATAATGCTCTTCCATCTCTATTGCCCACCAGCAAGCTGAACAGCTTTTCTAGTCTTTCTTTCCTAGACAATGGTTTAACCTGGTTGCAGAGTATATCTGTCGGAGCATTTTGAAGCACATATCGTCCCAGTATGCGCTTTCCCATACGCCTATCGTTTGCCCTCTTTTTATTACCATTGGATCCTTGGTTATGTTGACCACGGCTACTCGCTATTCCGTTCGATCCCAGTCGCATAGACCCTCCGGGATTCGTCGGTCTTTCATATTCAGCATTGCCTTCGATCAAGGAGTGGAACCTCCTACCCTAATTGCGAAATACGTTAGTTATCGAAATGATTGGATCTTCTCTTCCTCCAGAGAGTTACATCTGCACTGGTCTTTTTGTCATTACTTTGATTCAAACACATCGATCTCCATGCGGTGAGGAAGTTCATTACTCTTCCTGAAGCACCTTAATCTCCAAGCTTTTGGATGATCCGATTTCCTTCACTACCGCATCGATGTCAATCCCATCACTG